CTCATACCCTTATTCATTTCCGAATTTATTTAGCCGGTAAAATAGGTGACGTGGTCGTTGACTTAGGTGGTCATTTATTAATTGTGCCAAGTGTGTTATTCCAAAGTGTAAAAACGGGTAAAAAAATTTAATTCATTTTCCTTAGTCGTACGTCTTATAAGAAGAGGAATGAAGATTTGAACTAGGGTTTTTAACCATCTTAGCCACTATTGAGATTATAATGCTGCTGTCGAAGGTATTCTGCTCTTTGAATATTATTTCACTGCTGCATGGCTGAGAACGATAACGAAGTTGTATATCTGAGAGTTCATCTACACTACAATGGTGTATTTGTTCGACATCCTTCTGGATATGTTGGTGGGAATTACTTCCTCTTCACTGATGTTGATTGGGCAGGTATGGATGTAAGGGACTTTTTTTTACTTTTCTTGATAGAGCTATTGGGGAAGATTTTCAAAACCTCTACTACTGCTTACCTAACATCCCTTTATCTAGAGGGATCCGCCCCATTGTAGATGATTTGGATTTTGCCCAGTTTATAGATACCGAGTATGAATACGGGGAAATTTCAGTTTATGTTGATCATAATGGGAGTGGGTTGGAGGAATGGTGGGATGATGACATGAATCTGGTTGTTAGTGAAGATAATGTAAGTGGCCTTAAAGATGATGGTGTACCTAGAAATGAAGGAAACACTGTCCCTGATGAAACCCATCCCAATATAGGTCTTGAAGATGAAGTAATTGACATTGACAAAATACCTTTGAACAAGACAAGTGGGGATGAGTTTCTTAGTAAGTTATGTCCTCCAAAAGGTGATACTGGTGACAATGAAGTTGAAGAAGAAGATGTTGAGATCCATTCCATTTTCAACCCTGATTTGCAATGGAAAAGCCAAGTACCTGTTCTTGGGATGAAATTTGAAAGTCCAAAGCAGCTGAAAAATATGTTATGTAACTATGTTGTGGCAAATGGATACCAAATATGCTTCAAGAATAATGACAGTAAAAGGTTGTTGGTGGTGTGTTGCAAAGGAGCTTGCCCATTCAGGTTATGGGCTACATGGATGAGGCAGGAGGTGTCATTTCAAATCAAGTCATTGAAGATTCAGCATAATTGTGATAGAAACTACAAAGTATGATCAATTGTCACATACTCTTGGATAGGAGAACATTATAATAAGGAAATTTTGAATAGACAAAAGTTAACAATTAGACAATTGAGATTGGAGGTCATCAGGAAGTTTGGAATACAAGTTAGTTTAAGTCAATGCAGAAGAGCAAAGGTACATGTCATGAATCTTATTGAGGGGACCCTTACTGAGCATTATGCAAAATTATGGTCTTATGGGGAGGAAATTAAAAGAAGCAATCCAGGTTCAACAATCAAAATGGATGTCTAATGCATGCCTGATGGTTTGAATTACTTCAGTAAGTTCTATGTATGTTTTGTTAAAGTGAAAGCTGGTTGGTTAGAAGGTTGTAGAAAGGTGTTAAGGATAGATGGATGTTTCCTTAAGGATGTATGCAATGGGTAGTAATTGTGTGCTATGGGTAGAGATGCTAACAACCACATATTGCCAGTTACATGGGCAATAGTGTGTGTTGAGAATAAGGAAAACTGCATGTTGTTTTTGGAGTTGCTGAGAGATGATCTTGAACTAGGTATGGGCACTGGGTTCACCTTAATGTCTGACCAACACAAGGGTCTTATGGAGGCAGTTAAGGAGGTGCTTCCTTATGTTGAGCATCGACAATATGCAAGGCACATTGTTGCAAATTTTAAGAAAAGGTTTGTAAGGGCTATTTTTGAGAACCTTTTTTGGAAGGCTTGCAATACAACAACACCACAATCTTTCAATGTATTCATGAAAGAAATTGAAAGATTAAGTCCGGAAGCCCATAACTACTTGATGGAAAAGGAACCAAATACCTGGTCAAGAGCATTTTATGAGGTAGGTAGGGCATGTGTTGCAGTGGAGAATGGTCTTTCTGAGAGCTTTAATGCAGTAATTGTGGACGCCATAAGGAAACCAATAATCACTATGTTGGAGGAGTTAAGGTTATATATCATGGAGAGGATGTTTAACTTGAAACACAAGAAATGGACAAAGGATGTAAGTTCTGCAATAAGGCAGTTATTGGATGGTTTAAAGATTGAAGCCAGGCACTGGCAAGTGCTCCCAAGTGGACTAAACAAGTTTGAGACAAGAAATGAAGGACAAGCTTATGATGTGGATCTTGACAATAGGACATGTTCTTGTAGGTTATGGAAACTAAATAGATATGGGTGTGCCCATTCAGTTGTTACAATCTTATTTCTGAATATGGATGTGGACACCTATGTGGATCCTATCTTTTGTAGATCAAATTACAATAAAACATACTTGAATAATATCTTGCCTATGAATGGTAGTAACATGTGCCCAGAGGCATCATTCACCCCACTCTTACCTTCCCAAAGAAGAAGGATGCCTGCAAGACCTGCAACAAAAAGGAAGAGAGATGTGACAGAGAAAATGGGGAAGCATAAGGTATCAAATAAGGGTAAACCCATTGTGTGCAGTGCTTGTCATATGCCTGACCACAACAAGGTGACTTGCCCCACAACAAATAAGCCAGTTAAGCTCGGAGTGAAAAGAGAAAAGATAACAAAGACTACACAGGTATATTGAAATGATGTTGTTATTTGAGCAAAGCAAATTTGTAAATCTAAATTATTGACACGTTATCTTCTATAAGAATCTGTAGGTGAAAGATCAGTGAATGGTGGTGTAGGAGGAGTGCAAGGATCAGTAAATAGTGGTGCAGGAGGTGTGCATGGATCAGTGAATGGTTGTGCAGGAGGTGTGCATGGTGGTGAAGGTGGTGGAGTGCATGGTGTTCGAAAGAAAAAGGTATTTTGAAACTTTCCAAGTATACCCCTAATACCGTTTCAAGTATTTTGAATGGAAGGGTAATATGGTAATTTTCTTATTTATAGGTTAAAGCAAGGGACGTAGGGGTTGCTGTTAGAACAAGAAAGCCTTCTGAGAGAATTTTGAAAACCAAACTTGCAAAAGCAGTGTATGGGAAAAATGGTGAAGGCAGCTCAACAACAAATGCAGTGGATATAGATTAGGATTTGTCTCTTTAGACATGTGTCGTGTTTTGAACCTTTATGTTATGTACTAGTTTATGTTGTTGCTGCATGGGGAACATTTGTGTCTTTTGAACCTTTTGTTAACTTCACATGGATGCAACATTTGTGTCTTTTGAACCCTATGTAATTTGTCTTTATGACTTATTGTTCTAATATCACATGTGATGGTACTATTTTATCAGTATTCAATTCTTATGTTGGTCCACAAATATACACTCCTCCCAAAACTCAATCACTTTCAATCCGGATGTCGATCCCATGTGATGTTCCTTTTTATATGTGTGGTCCTCATTTGAATACAATACCCAATGTCTTTTACTTGTATTGGTCCATAATCTATGTTCACTTGCCTGTTGTACCCATGTGATATGCATTATATTCAATTGTTTTGGTCCACAATAACTATTGCCTTTTATCAGTATTCAATTGCACTTAACAAGACAATTCAGTGGAACAAAAGTATAGTAACAGAAAGATGCTTGTTTCCATTAGATACAAAAGTACATGGGGCATACAAAAATAGCTTAAATTACAGGGGCATTTACTAGACAAGGGCATTTACATCCATACAAATACTAACCTATATTCTACCCACAAAAAACCACAGAAGATCTTCATATCCCCAACCCCAAGTTTACAAAAAGGGAGAGCATCTATACCACCAAAAACCATAAACTACCCCCAACTATTTAGCCCCAAGCATCTTTATCCCACCACCTTTGCTTTCTGCATCAGCAACACAGTAGCAAGAAGCACACAAAACATCATACCAATCCTGAACTTCATCCTCACGAACTTCAACTCACCCCTTAATTGTTTGTTTTCTTCAACAGCCATGGATAACTCACCATCAACAATTTCTTTAGTAGCAGTGGCTTCAACATTCAGGTTCTCCAGCAAAGCTACCCTTCTCTCTAGTCTTGCAGCGTAACTGTTGTCTTTCATTAGTTGCAACTCATACTTCAGATTGTTAAAGGCATTCTTGTAGTGTGGTGTCAGCTCATCATCGATCCACCTGAAGTATTTACATTTCTCAACTGCCAAACATACCAACAAAATATTCAGTCACACACACCACAAGCTCGTTCCACTATCGACTTAATCGAGAACAGTAAACCCTAAACTCAACATTATCTCCATTGTTTGATAAACCCTAATTCCACAATGTCGACAACACATTTAAAGAAGATGATGGTTACCAGAGAGTCAACGCATTTGCGAAATATACGATCTGGATTCTTATCTGACATCGACATCCTTTCTACACTTATCTTTGGATGACGACAAGCGCACAGGTTCTTGTCACGATTCCTAGTAGCGAGAACAGTTCGGTTCTCAGAGGATGATCCAGATGAGTATACCATCGAATGAGAAGATAATCGATTCTTAAGGGTTCGTGACCGGAAAAATATATGTTATAAAGCGGAAATGATCTTAAATATATTGTCTTCATTTAGGCCACTCTTAATAGCTTATTAATGAAGCTGATCCGTCACCTGCCAACTATGTATCTACGTGGACAACATTGTCCACCTATGCAGCCAACTATGTATCTACGTGGACAACATTGTCCACCTATGCAGTAAATTAATGGATAACCGGAAATTGTGGGTAAATTTTAACGTAACTGGTATAAAATACAGGAAATTTTCGAGTTTGGGGGTCCATAAAGGCCAAAAAAACATAATTTATCTTTTAAAAACTAATGTAGAAGTTAATTGGGTCTTTATGACAAAAACCCAAAAGAAAAAAAATGCATATCACCTAAAGTATAAATTGATTTAAGTAAGTATTTGTGTAATGCGTTTAACCCAATAATAAAATGTAAATGTTTTACAGTTTATTACACGCCATGCATTCATATATTTTGAAATTCATCATTACTTTGGTGATTTTATTTAAAATATAACAACTTGTTTTTTGGAATTATTAACATATACTTTATATGGAAAAGATATCGGTGAGATAGATGCTTACTTTTTACCTTACGACTTGTTTTTTAATCAATAAATTTGCTGTTTTATTCATAGAAATGGGTTCAGCACAAACCAAAAAGTTATTCGGGTTAAATCAGAATGAAAGAAAGAAGATTCTGGATAAAAGGAAAAGAAAGTTATCAATAGTTAAAAAGTACACTCGGACTCGGGGTTTCAACAAAGAGTTAAATCACAAAACTAAAAACAAAATCTATATTTCTAACTTTATCCCAAAACACCAACAACTATGTAAAAAGATATTGAAAGATAAAGAGAGAAACATGAGAGAGGATGAAAATGAAAAGAGTGCCAAAATCATATGGTTATTTTTAAAAGGTCTTGATATATATGATTCCGTTTATTATGTAAAAAGATTACGAATTCATAAACCATTCTTTGCTGATAAATGGTATTTAGTTACCGTTGTTTTGAAATTATGTTTATTTTTATCAGATAGCCTAAATAAAAAAATAAAAATAAAAAAACATTTTAGATTTCCTCTAATATAAGAGATAACTTACAATTTAAGAGTAAATAATAATCATTCCAAAATACTATTATACATTATCCCTCAAAATCCCTAAATAATAATGCAACTACAAGAGCTTTTTCTCTCTTACTAAAATTTTTTATTAAAAAAATTTTATACACTCACTTTTTTTTTTCCTTATCAATTTTCAGTGATACGGAGATCATTGGGTAGTTTTTTGGCTAATATTATACAATTTTAACAAATTAACTTTGCCATTCATACTTACAATTTTAACCAAATTAACTTTGCCATTCATACTTAGCAAAGACAAAAAAATTCAACAATCTCAAATAAAAATAAAAATTATATGTCATTGGGCCCCAATCTCCAACAGAAAATAGACCATATTCCTATCAACCAAAGAACAGACATGATGTAGAGTCACATGCCCCAAAAGCCTATCAAAACACTAAAGATGCGATACGATGCTATGCACATGGCTTCCTGTTTACACCTCATCAATTCCAACAAAACGACACTCCGTTTCAAGAAAAACGACAATCTCCACCTCCTGATTCGACATTCAGAGTCTCTCATCAAAAACACATGCATTAACCACTTGTACCTTAAGCAATTCTTATGAACAGTGAAGATAATCGAATAACAACGAATGAAGATAATAATAAGTACAAAAAGAATTCATAAATGTAACAGAGCGAGATATGATATGATACATAAAATGTTCATAAAAATTATAAAAAAACCAGTATCGATCATCATCGTCCAACATACAATAATCATAGAAAAGCTAAAATCAACAACTAAATAATAAATAATAACAATGAAATAAAAGTAAAAAAAAAATATGAAGAATCACGAACGACCAAAACGAATCACCACATACTGACGAAAAATCTCGATCGAAAGCAGATCTCTACAGGACCAAAGCAGCAGCTAAGACAGCTACAAAACCAGATCCAACGGAGGCGACTCTGTTCAAGCTAGCGGCGTTAGGCGATGAGGTAGGTGAGTCGGTAGGAGTAGAAGCGATGGAAGGAGGAGAAGCGCCGGGAGCTCCGCTAGGAGTGACGGCAGTGGGAGGAGCAGGTGGAGAAGCCAACGGAGATTCAGTTGGTGAAGAAGTAGGAGCAGTGGAAGGAGGCACAACAACCGAAGTAGGAGGTGTAGCGGTGGGAGCGGCAGTTGGGGAGACGGTTGGTGCGGAGGTCGGCGACTGAGCAAGAGCAGATCCTGCAATCAATGCGAATAGTAGTACCACAACCATGCTTGAAGATGCCATTGTTGTTTTGTTTCTCTCTCTTAAAAGCTTCAGAAAATTCTAGAGAGAGAAAGTTAGAAGATGATACGAGTGGAACAGCGTACGAGGGTTTATATAAACAGGGTTTTGAGTCGGTTCCAGACTATTTTTAATTTTTAATTTTATTTTTGACAACTCATAAAGACGTAATCGTGGCCGTTAATTTTCCGTCATATTCCGCTTGAAACAATTAGGGTGGTGTTTGTTTTTTGTCTGCAGATCTGCGTGGCCTCTTCTGTCTGCGCCGTGCAGACATTAGCCTTCGCAGACTGTTTGTTTTTTTTGAAGACTGCAGACCTAAAAATGTCTGCGCGCCGTCTTCTTGGCGCAGATGTGGATCAGAGTCTTCTAACATCTTCAGACATATTCTAGCCTAAAAAAACACATATATCTTTATTTTTTTAAGTTTTTTTAATTTATATTTTTTTCAACTTCATTAATGATAAACAATTTGAAAAAAAAAATTATAAAACTTAAAAAAAACGTTCGACAATACAAACAAGATATTTTTGACAAATTTATAAATAAATATTTATTACAAGAATAGTCATTGAAGTTGTTTATATAAATATAAAAAAAATCATAATATATATTCTTATATTTTTTTGTCAAATTTTGTAAAACATTATTTAATACAGTAT